ATTCGACGACGCGGGTATATGTAGATACGCAATCACGCACTCGCGCAATCCCGTTAACGAAGTACGTAGATACCGCCGACGAACGTTACAGGGTAGTTTCATTTTATATAGTTAATCGCTCTTTATTCCAGCCAGTCGGCCGCAGTTTCCGCTGTCATAAATTATCGCTGTCATAAATTTATCCCCGATCGGTAATTATCGGACCGAGCCATCCGTCGGAACGAGCTTGGAATTACGAGCCAATTCCACAATTGGCGTTTCGGTCTATATCTCTATCGCGCGATGGATTATTGTTACCGGGAGGCGACTTCTCGACGATTTACTGCACGATGACCTTCGTTCGAGCCACACGCAGCACGCGACGATTAACAATTTCGGGCGTTTCGTGAATTTCCTATTACCGTCCTATTGCCGTCACGCTTATCCGCCGCGCGGATGATACGCAATTGCGGTAACTGCGAGTTCGGCGATAATAGCTGCGCGGCGGATTGAATCGCGTCGAACACGGCTGCATTGTTAACGCAAATTATAATTGCAGCGAGTCTCGCTGCATTTTCAATATTCCCTTTCTCTCTCTCTCTCTCTCTCTCTCTCTCTTTCCGGCGTGATGCATCCTCTTGTGCATTTAATAGCATAAATGTGGGCTATGAGAAGCGCGTTAAAATCCCGATAATAATTCATATTTGCGATCAAATGTTTTGAATGTAACGTAATTATGCGAGATTAACGTGATACGTTATAAGTTTGTTTTATAAAATATTTGTTTTTTATTAATTTAACAAATAGCAGCAACGACTATGTTTATTCGTTGTTCGTGCAATTTCTGTATATTAATGTAAAAAAAATATTTTCTTACTCTACACACGCGCATACATCGCATTTATATTCCTCTAAGAATTTGATGTCATTTGCAGAATAGTGGATAAAAGGATAGACGCGATAAACGGTAAATAAGGATTGCATTTGCTATTTTCACGATCAATGTCGAAATTGATATGTATCTGCGCGTGTCTAACGGGTGGACACAATTAAGCGTGCGTGCAGGTTACTGCGGGCGTTTGCATTTCGCTCACGCGAAAGGTAAAATACATGCTCATAGATTATAGATAAGTACAGTCCAGGCGCCAACATCATTTTCAGCTTTCAAAAGTATAATCGTGTTGAGGAAATCTGACCGTTGAAGCCATGCCTTATCAGCTATAGATATAATACTATTTTTTTATGTATCTAAGAAAAAATAAATTATTTTAAAAAAAATTATAAACAAGAACGGAAATTATTTTAGTAATTCAATAAATAATCAGGGAATGTAAAAAACGAAAGAACAACCAGGATAGAAATTTGACTAATTTTGTAATTTGATTAATTGGATCATATTTGTTTAAATTAGGTTTGTGCTCTCTCTCTCTCTCATTCAAACGATGGTTTTATTTATCTCATATCCTTTTTTTTTAGTCCGATAATTTTACCGGATTTTTTCAAGATCGATTGCAAACGTCGAGAAATGTTGTTTGTTAATTAAGAAATTCATTTCGTTGCGCAAAAAAATTATTAATTTACCGTAAAAATGGCGGTCGTTTGCGACATCGTACGACAATCCCGAGAAAGCTCCCCTCATAATTGCGCATTTGTCTTTGGACGGGATGTTAGTCCTTGCTGATGATATTTCAGGTATAACGCGCAAGCACGCGCCTCTTTAGCTGGTGGCAATTGCCGCGTCCCCGTAAACGAGTCTACTTATCTCGGGGCTGATTTACCTCCCTCGCAGCACGTCGCCGCAACACTGCTTTTTGTTGGCAGGATGAGCAATGGCTTGAAACGGACGGGAACAGCTTGTTAATTAACTCAATTAAATTGTCAGATATTATTTTTGTTCTGCCATCTATCCCTGCGCCCCTTGTACCTCTGTAATATTTTCATAATGGAGGATGGGTCGTTATCCTCGAGCGTGTCGTAAATTAAAATAATCCGAGCGTACTTTGTTATATAATTTTTGTCGCGATTCCAAACTCGCATGTACATCTGCTCCTAAAAACAATTGGAGCGTCCTGTACGGAATGACGGACACTTATCGCGTTTCCGAAAAGTATCGCGCTGCACCAGATGCTTAGATCGTTCTCGAAAACAAGAATAATTACGTGATTTTGCAGTAGTGGTCGGCAGAAAGTGCCGGAAAAAGGGACACGCGAAAGGGCGGAGAAGGAAAAGCTGACACCGAGTTTCGAACGGCGCGGTTACGTGCTTTACGAGGACAAGCGGCTTAACCGACCCAGCCAGCAGACATAATTCATCCGGCGTAACATGGTGTCTCTCTTCTCCGTTACCGGCGTTCCAACGCACTTTGCGTTGGAACCAGGAGAGGAAGTCTGCCTGCCCTTATTTATGGTATCGCCCGGGAGCGACTGTACATTCAGATTCGGTCGTCTCACCGCGAAATACGGAAAATGGCCTTTGCCAAAGCGTAGAAGCGTTACCGCATTATTTACGAGATAGAGACTACGGTTAGCGGGTAGTACCGAAATCTGCGCAACCGTATTCATTCGGAGTTTATTTCCTTGATGGTTGTGCGAACTTAATTTTGGGTTGCGGCGCGTTTTACACTTCTACGATAGTTGTGTGTAAACGACGCGTTTAAAAGCGAGTCTCACGATAAAAATGCTATCAGCCTTACTTACGTATTTTGCTTATTCATTTAAATGAACGAATCTCTAGCCGATCTCTAGGAAAACCTCGCAATACGAATTCAGATTTGTAAAATTTATTAACAACGCCCTAATTTGTTATTAATAAAAAATGAATTATTAGTTTTATCACTGACTCTTCTCACTTTCTTTCTTACAGTTTTTTTTGTTTTCCAGAAAGCTTGCTATAGTTAAGAAGCAACATTTGCATTAAAATATTGCTTAAGATTGGAGAAAGATGTTAATTCTTAGATAACTTAAATCAAATGAAAATATAAACTTTATTATTCGCAAACTCTTTTGTTTTATATGTACATAGGGCAGACACAGGGAAGGCGGTCTCGCGTGAACAAATCGAATCCGGCGCAAATTAGCGGCAGAGTAGGTTTACGAGAATCCGTCTTGTTGTCACGAGAAATAATTGCCATGAGCATTCCCGAGGACGAAAGGGAGAGTTTCGTCTTTTCCCGCGGGATTATAATACCGGGGACGAGACGCCCGCGGTTATTAGTTTAGGAAGCTGCAAAGTACCCCGAAACAAAGTCTTTTCTCTTCGTCTCTCCACCGGGTAATCAATATAGAGACGACGATCCCTGCCTTGTTTTACCTTGTCAGTTTAGCCCGAGCCATAATTTATTAACAACGCCCTAATTTGTTATTAATCAAAAATGAATTATTAGTTTTATCACTGACTCTTCTCACTTGCTTTCTTACAGTTTTTTTGTTTTCCAGAAAGCTTGCTATAGTTAAGAAGCAACATTTGCATTAAAATATTGCTTAAGATTGGAGAAAGATGTTAATTCTTAGATAACTTAAATCAAATGAAAATATAAACTTTATTATTCGCAAACTCTTTTGTTTTATATGTACATAGGGCAGACACAGGGAAGGCGGTCTCGCGTGAACAAATCGAATCCGGCGCAAATTAGCGGCAGAGTAGGTTTACGAGAATCCGTCTTGTTGTCACGAGAAATAATTGCCATGAGCATTCCCGAGGACGAAAGGGAGAGTTTCGTCTTTTCCCGCGGGATTATAATACCGGGGACGAGACGCCCGCGGTTATTAGTTTAGGAAGCTGCAAAGTACCCCGAAACAAAGTCTTTTCTCTTCGTCTCTCCACCGGGTAATCAATATAGAGACGACGATCCCTGCCTTGTTTTACCTTGTCAGTTTAGCCCGAGCCATCGGCGAGAATCCTTGCTTACTTGTTTTGTTCGTTCCAGGCGTTTGGAATAGCCAGCAGAGAGAGCGAGAGAAAGAGAAGACAAGCAGTATCTTTAGCTAATAAACCATCCCTTTCCGCTTTCTTCCCGTTCTTCTTCTTACGGAGGGACGGTTCACCAAATTATAATACGCCTACCTCGTGTTTCTTCCCTGAAATGCTCTTAGGCTTGATCGCTTTTCATCACGAAGCCGATTACGCGAATAGCATCCTCGGATATTTTTTTGCTGACAATAACCTCGAATATCTTTTCTCTGTGGATCCCTCTCATTTAATATAGTTACAATTGAATAGTCTGTAGTTACCAAGAAAGTAGCGCTTATAAAGAGATGATTGATAATATTGGAGACACAATTTTTAAAAATTTATTTATTAAATATATCAACAGAAAGACATACACATGAAATCAGGAAGCGATAAAAGACATGCATCAAAGTATTTTATAAATTTATGGAGAAATAATTACTATTTGTTTTATAGATTCTTGAAATATATAAAATACACGTACGATTTTTCTTGAATTGTTTTTTGCGGAATTTAATAAGTATGTTTATCATAGCGTAACATCTGATGCGTTTCGAACTTTCCGGTAATTTTTGCATATGTCTGGTGAACATCTGCCTCGATTAAGTAGTTTAACCTGTAATTTATTCCATCGGCAATGGTCGGATGCTCGCAATTTACGCTTTAAATTGAAATGTAGAATTATCTGGTGGTGCATTGGATTTCCGATTGAAGAGTTCAGAGTAGTATAAGTGCGTAATTTGTGAGGTCTACTTTAAATCTCTCAAGTATGTAAAATCTTACAAATTATATCCCTACGTCTGTTCTGAACCCTTCAATTTTATGCTTTGTATATATTCTTGATAATCTTTGTAATCTGTAATCTTTAGTCGCTTACGCGACTAATAAGTTGATAATAAATGGAAATGTTATCGTTAGTACTACAAGAAAAAGAAACGACCAAGACGCGTTCGCTAAACTCGGCAAACATTGCGCAATTTCACGTCGCGTACGCATCATATTTTCTTTGCACGCTATTAAATCGCGGCGAGAGAGAGGTAGAGAGAATAATTCTGTTTATTTCTCTATTTTAGTCCAAGCAGTACGGCGCTGGGTTCGCTGGATCAATTGAAGGAGTATCTAACAACAGTGGGAACCTGCAAATGCGGTCTCGAGTGTCCGCTCAGACCCGAACAGGTCTTCAACTTTGATCCCAAGGTAAGTGAAAAATTGAAAAATCTTTTCTCTTTTTAAAGTCTTGTTTTATTTCTCTGAAGAAAAAAAATGCTTTTAAAGAAATATAATAAAATAAGAAATTTTTATTTAAAGTTAACATATTTATATTTTTTAACCAGAGTCATAGATTGTAAATGCAAAAGTTTGTCCTGCAGAAAAAAAAATTTATTTTACATATTTATTAAATCTTAAAACTGCGAATATCAAATATTTAAAGAGGAAATGAGTGCTTCCTCATATTTTTCTACTTCCAAGATACATGAAATGCGTGACAATTGAGCGGTTAAAATCTTTCTCGATTTCACATCCCAATTACATTCTTATTCCGTGGTTGACGCGCGTGATGCTGCCATCGCAATCGAGAGAAATCTTCAAAGTTGACGTAAGTCAATATACACATAGTCGGCCTGTCACATGACGAATCCGATATACAAACGCACACTGTGGCCAGGTTGTTTCACATGCATAGGCGGTGGCGCGTTTAATCGGTGAAACGCTCATTACACTTTATACTTTTATCGTTTGTACCAGAGAGTTATTTCGACGTGTCTCGCCATGGCAAAAGTTCACAGAGTACGTATAATCTGCACATAACTGCGCATCTGTGAAAGCGTGAGCGTTAATCATGCTTAATCGCCGGTGGCGATTAGGCGCCGTTTATTTATTTATCGTTTATGCGCGCTCGTAATTGGCACGCGCTTTTCGTATATACAATCCTGTGAAGCTCGTGACTTACTGAGAATAAAATATCGCTATTGTGCGTGCAGACAATGACCTCTTGTCGACAAGCATCGCGTCGCTGTCGATTTTATCTTCTTTCGAATTGATTAAGAAGTGTTTCTCCTTCTCGCGACAATTAAAAAAAAAAAAAAAATTTCCCATGATCAAACGAAAAGGTCAATTAAGTATTATTATAACCGAAATGTGCCGATGCAAATATGAGAAGAAATTTTATTTTTGAAATTTGCAATTCCTTTAATACATAAGTGAGCAAAAGAATATTAATATAATCTAGATAATATACTGACCAGTATCTTTGCCTGCATCATGTAGGGGATCGATTCCCACTAGAAATGCCCCACATTATTGTTAAGGTTTGTATATATTATATAATCGACGACCGGCTAAAAAACTAAAAAAAGAACTGATATTAGCTATAAAATATTATAAGGTAGTTTTTGCTATTTTTTTCACAAAAGCTTGCTTGTAAAAAGTGAGCGTTTAATGTTGCATCAAAAGCGAAAAATAGAAGCAATAGAAACGACAAAATGTTATTGATGGGACATTGACTGTGCTACTTTTCTGAACATAGTTTTTAATAATTTCTTTATTATGTTTTATATACGCGAGATTCAAAGTTAATTACGGACATTAATAATAAAGCAAGCTTTATATAATCCTTGTTTGTTGTCTAAAAATAACACGATGCCTTAGAGATCTAGGAAGAAATATCACTGTCGAGCATGTTTAACAACGGTATCTTATTAAACGCTATCATTTCCTGGCGATCTAATGTTCTCTCGATTCGACTAAAGACTGCTTTCTCTCTCCCACTTTCGTTTCAAATTCATAGAAACGACGATGAGTCACGTCACCGTGGAAACCGTTCCGGAAAATCGTACTTCTCACGAAACATCGTCGCGAACAAAGCGTTGATCGGGCGCTATTTCTGTCGCGCGGCTGCGCATAAATACGTAATTTTTCTTACTTCCGCTATTTAGATATTTATGGTACATTCGCGAGAGCTAGACGGCACGTATCTCGGCCCGCGCCAACGATCTCGAAGAAATATCGCGATTGTGCGTGCCAACGATCGCGGCTTATTAAGAAATATCGCGCACCGGGCACATTGTTCTTTCGAAATAAAATGTGTGCGTTGTTCTTAAAAGAAAGAGGCAGTGTCGTGCTTATTTGTTTACGACGGTAAACCGATAGTTTCCGGTGTGATATGCAAGAAAAAGAAGCGAATCTCCAGGATCGTGGACAGCAGAAGGGGGGATGGGAGAATTTCGGTCTCCCTTTTGTAATTGCCAAACGGTCCGATACCGAGAGGGAGGGGCAAGATCGTCGGAACTGTGATCGTCCGGAGAAACTTCGACACGCGATGTAATGTATCAAAGAGCCGTTCGAAACTTCCCGTTTTGTTTCTCGTTTTACGCGTCTGCATCCTCGATCGACTCATTTTTGCTTCCTCATAGAGGAAGCTTTGTTTTCGTGACAAAATTTTTTTTCGAGTTTTCTATGCCAATGTGTTTAGAATGTTCCAAAACGTCGGAAAATCATATTCCTAAAAAATGTCTGTATGTATGATTGTAAGATAAAATGATGAGGAAGCAATGTGCAAGTTTCTAATTTGCACAACTCTACTTGTTTTTATCTTTGACCTCTTTTCGGCCGTCGATAGGAAATAGAATACGTGATTGTAAGCAATTTGACGTACCGTTTGGTGTTCTATTATTTTATATTGACAATTACCGTATTCCGTATTGTGTTATTGATCATATTTTAATGAATTGTGTGTTTCGCAAGAGCTATTCTTAATTACACGAAAAAGGTAACGAGTGCCACGCGATATAACGTACGCGAAAGATAATGAATTTTGAAAACGGAGCACTTTTTATCGTATAAATGCGCCGAATGTAATTTTCTGCTGTTTTGATTACTCGCGAGATATCGCGATCTTTCGCGCGTTTGTTGCAAATCGTGGCTTCATGTACCGAGAGAGAGAGAGAGAGAGAGAGAGAGTACGCCGTATATAGATATACAGCCGGGCTGTATAAGCCGGGCATGCGGATATACCGTGCGCGCTCCCGATAATACCGGGGTAATTCGATTTCCTCAGAATTGCCGGGCTTGCTTCGCTCAAATTGAATTTCTATTAATAAAAACGGGGTATCGGTCGCGCTTGTGTATTCTCTTTCTCTCTTCTCCTCCACTTATATCACTCTTCTCTTCGCGT